CTTGCTACACAGCATTAGGGCATCAATATGTATCAGAAAATGTAATAAAGATTGAGAGTGATGTCGGAGTCAATTTTTGGAAAAAACCATGGTCTATCATAGCCTTGGGTATTTTTTAGCATTTTGAAATTTTCTTAAAATGGCCTTAACTTGAAAAAATGAAGTCAGAATCAGCTCAAACTTGCTACACAGCATTAGGGCATCAATATGTATCAGAAAATGTAATAAAAATTTGGGGTGATTTTGGAGTCAATTTTTGGAAAAAACCATGGGCTATAGTCTTGGGTATTGTTCAGAATTTTGATGTTTTCTTAAAATGGTCGCAACTTGAAAAATTGAAGTCTGAATCTGCTCAAACTTGCCACACAGCATAAGGGTATCAATGTGTATCAGAAAATGTAATGAAAATTTGGAGTGATTTTGGAGCCACTTTTTGGAAAAACCATGGGCTATAGCCTTGGGTATTATTTTAGCATTTTCTTAAAATTACTGTAACTCAAATAATTGAAGTTGGAATCAGCTCAAACTTGCTACACAGCATAAGGACATCTAAGTATCAGAAAATTTAATAAAAATTTGGAGTGATTTCGGAGCCATTTTTTGGAAAAAACCCAAAATTAGACAATTTTTAAAATGGCTGTAACTCAAAACGTCTAAGTCGAAATTAATAGCATTTTACATAATTATTTATTTATTTTATTTATGTAGTAGATTAATAAAAAATTAATGAGACATACTGTTGACCTGAGGGCACTAACAAAGACCCCGCCCCCTACTGCCAGCACTGCAGAAAAGACCAAAGCCATAGAAGAGAACATGTTACTAGTAGTTGAATCAGCTCGAGCTATTGGTTGCTCTGTTACTGATAATATGGTGGAGGAACTAACAAGAGGAGACGAAGGAACAATTGATAAACTAATAATAGAATTAATTAAAGTAAGAGTGTATTAATTAGTGGGTGTGGTTGACCACACCTCTTTCCCCTCCCTCCAGTCTCGTGTAGTCCATATGACTGGTATGGAGGATGAGCCTTCAAGTACTTTTAATGATTTGAGTACTTTAATGTCTAAACTAGGACTGGCCTATACTGATAGTGAGGAGACTAATGGAGGAACTGGAACTGACTCAAGTGATGGAGGAGGAGGTGAGACACTGGGGCTGGGATATTACTGTATAATTATTAATTAATTAATATAATTATTACTGAGTATATTTAGTATAATTTTTGTTAATTTTTTTGTTATTCGCTGTATAGCAGGTAATTTTGGAAGAGAAAAATTTTTGGAATATTTTTAAAACATTTGTTGATTGCTGGGTCGAATTTGTGTCTATGAGCCATCGAGCATGTACATAATGTTACAAAATGGTTGTTTTGATTTGACAAGTGGCTACTATATTAAAATGCCAAATTTACCAAGATTTATCTCCTCCAAAATTACCCACTATATGGTATTCTTGTGATAATATCAAATACCCAATATGGCGGGTGGTTTAGGAGGAGGTGTATCAAGATCATGGAGAGATGAAGCAGTTAATGTTAGTAGGTATAAAGATGGAGGACTGATGGTAAGGATTGATGATGAATATACACCTCATTCAGTTACTGGATCATGGAGGGAGGACAAGAAAACACCAAAAATAGGTACAGTATCTGATATTAAAGTATAGCTTTAATTTGACAGTGCTTCAAGACTGATTTACAATAATATACTAGGTTAGTGTACTGTCAATTTTTAATTAAAACTGTGGGCAGTTTGACCTTTTGACTCATGCTTTATGTTAGAATTGAATCAGTGTCAATGTAACTTCAGGACTAGCATAATATAATAAATCCACCTTTATTTGATAAGCTACATGTATAATTGAAATATTCTCCTAATAATTAAACCCACCAATGATTATTGTACATGTTCATAGTATATGTATGACTACACAAAATTGTCAAATTAAAAATCATCAAATTAATTTTATAGAAAATTACTAAAATGAAGTGTTCCCAAATTAAAGTGTTGTACATTAAAATTAGTAAAATCATACTGAAGCTTGAAAATGTACTATCGTATAGCCTGAAAATTTGGCGGTTAACTATCTTGTATTTTCTTTAAGCACTCTCAGCTCTTCTTGAAGCTGCTCCTTGGCTGTCCTTGCCCACAGTCTTAACTGAAATAGTGAGAAATACTGCCATTTTGGCATTTTTAGTATCATGTGCTCATGACAGGATCTGCCCATTATTGCAATTATTATCGGCAGTTTTATTTTGAACTGCTAATCTGCCAAATTTAATTCTCCGCCAAATTTTTTGGCTAAACACATGAGTATTGTTACCTTTACATGTCATTAATACCTCTCTCTCTCTCTCTCTCTCTCTCTCTCTCTCTGAGCATATGTTATACATGTACATATCAATACGTAAATAATTCATTAAGTGCCAAACCAAAACCCAGCTTTAATTAGTAATAACACCTAATAAATAATAACTATCTAAAGCACATGGTCAAGCACATGTTAAGTTTATTGTGCCAGCTGGGAGAAAAGAAACCAATACCTTCCAGTATGTAGCGCTAAGCCCAGTTGTGTTAAATAATAGTCATAGGCCCTGTGTATCTAGTGTCAGCACACATGTAACTGTACAAGCCACATTGGTAACAACAGCTTTTTAAGGCAGGCAGGGAGGTGAGAGTTTGGCCATTAAAAACGTTTTAACCCCCAGTTCTGGTTCTCAAGGCCGGACTGCCTAGCCTGCCGTTCACCACGGCTTTCATGCTAACACAGTAACTGTAAAAATTTGTTTGTATTGTCACATGGTATGACGACAATTGGTGGCTCTGAGTTGTGAAAAGAGGGTCGAGGGCGAGGTGTTAGGTAGATAGCCAGGAAAGAAGTCTAGGCAGGTAGGCAGACTAGGAGCATCAACCAACTGTGGCCAACACTCTGACGTCTGACTATTGACAGGAGTTGGGTGTAGTGTACGTCCTCTCTTAAACTAATTGTCACTTTATTTAATCTCTTTTTCTTTGTCTCTCTCTCTCTCTCTCTGTCTCCTCTATCTCTCTCTGTCTCCTCTATCTCTCTCTGTCTCCTCTCTCTCTCTGGTAAGGGAATAACAGATATATAGCATTAAGAAATCGGCTTTTAATTATTATTCAACACCTAATTAAAAATAATTTATTCATGCAAGCACATGGTCACAGTGTGTTATTAAAAGTTTTAAAAATGACAGCTCAATTCCTCCAAGGCTCACTTTTGAGTAAGTACAGCTAACATACACACCTACATGTAAAAGGCTAAGTAAACTAACTGTAATAACTTGCCCTACACGTACAGACTTAACACACATTGTAATTTACTGTTTACACATACTGACAAACACACTAATGCAATTATTTACTACTCATACCTAATTCACTAATCGTGGGGACAAGTCAGAGGCAGGCAGAGTGCCGAAAGTTGAGCCCGTAAAAACATTTTAAGCCACGTACCACTCCGGTTCTTAATTCAGGCTGGACTGCCTAGCCCCGGCAGGCCTCCTTTCCAACACATGACCCCCCAAAGAATATTCCAGTGTGTATCACGCTTTGGCCTAAACTTAGCACAACCTCAACCAGTGGTACTGTAACTAAAAAATCCATTAGCAAAGTACATGTAGTTATAGTATCAACACACATGTACATGTAAATATAAACCAGCCAATCATGTTAAATCATTAGCATACACAATACTAGTATCTGCATGAACAGCATACTGTAAAAGTACATATAAGTAAAGCCTTAAAACCTCCCTTGTGGGAATGGGGGTTCCTTAGGGTTGGGGTGGTCTCTGAATAACACTAGTAAAAACAAAATGGTAGTTTTACCCATAGAAATCTCTCTCTTTCTGTATCTCCAGATCTCAGTAACCCTAGTCTTGATGCTAATCTGTCATATGAGGAGAGGGCAGCCATTAGAAGAGCTGAGAGGGAGAGGAGAAAGAAAGACAGAGAAGCACTGGTTGTCCCTAAATAATGAGCACTCATTATTATTATTATTATTATTATTATTATTATTATTATTATTATTATTGTATTTTTGTTGTTGTTATTGTTACGTACTGCGTTCATTGTCTGATGGTATTTAGAGTTTCAGACTCGTTTCATTATTAATGCATTTATTTTGTTTTTTGTTATTTTTAGTTCAATTTATTAGAAAACCATTGTTATTATTATTATTGTCATTATTGGAAAACTGAGTGAGAGAGCTCAAAGATTGTGATGACAGCATACAAGTGTATCATATCTGCATTGGTAAGAGATCCTCCCTCCCTCTTTCTAGTAACTAATTTGACAGTGTTAGGTCTGTCAATTTTTAAATTAAAAGTGTAGGTCATTTGACCTTTTGATTCATCCTTTATGTTTAAATTTCATTGAAAAGTGTAAATGTAACTTCAGGACTAGCATAACACACAGACACACATACAACACCATGCACAATTATTTATTTTAATTATTAGATTAATAATAATTATTTATTATTCACAATGATGAATTATAATTATTAGAAAAACAAAAAAGCAACATAATAAATTACATAATATTATTAGTAAATAGTAATAAGTAACAAAAATATCATAAACGTAAAGAACAAAGATAATAAACAATGATAACAATGACTATAAGCAAGGCTGCAAAATTAAGTTGTGGCAGCCATTTTGAAGTGGGGTGAATCCTACTTAGTAACGCTATCGTGTTACTAATTATTGTATAAATCTAAATCTAATAGTATTTAGTGTTTCAAACTCACATTTATTTTTCTTTTTTAGATCCCAATAATAACCCAGTTTTTTATCCATTTTATAAATCTTTTTATCAATTATTATGAATTGAGCTTTCTACTAAAGGATTATAACTTGTTTTAATTTATTGGTGTCTATATATTTTTATTGGTAGTGGTTTGTGTAGTTGATGTTTCCTTTGTTATCAATCATTGCTCTTCTTTTGATTTTGGAGGAGTACTATTAGAGAATTTACCATTAATCGCAATGCATTCAAGTGATGAATGAATGAAGGTAGTTGTGTATAAATGTTCTACTACTTCTTTCCAGTTAGGTTGAAGTGACTCACTAATATTGCGTTCATCACACTCTATCCTCAGTAGTTTGATGGTTGTATGTGACTGTAACATGTTGGTAACAGCAGGTAATACCTGTTCATAAAACAATGGTGTCATTATTTGCTTTATTTCTTCCCAACTACAGTCAATGTATGCCTGATCTGGTTTAAAGTTCAATCTAAATTCTGTGAGATTTTTCTTTTTAGAGATGACATTAATAAAAGTTCTTATCTCTTCATTCAGTGGAATGGATACACTTAACTGCTCTAGACTGGTGTTGTATCTGAGACCAGTTGTTAGGAAGGGCAGGAATGAACTGGGAATGGAACCGTATACATAGTCATTAATCTCAAGGTATTTCAGTGTTTGATTTTGTGTTAGCATTTTTTGTAGACTAGTACTCATACTTCTGGTATATACTGTCTCCTCCTTTATTTCCACTCTCAGAGCTTTAAGTGTAGTATTGGTTTGTAGAATAGTAAATAGTTCAATAGCACTCTCAGCTGTGTCTAGTGGTAAAGAAAGTGTATGTAGACTGGGCTGAGAGGGAAATAAAAGATGTGGTGAGTATGGTTCATGTAGCACGAGACAGTGTAATCCTTTGATATGTGGAAGGAGTGATTTCATCAGTTTACTACTCCATCTTCCTATTTCTAGAGCAGTCAGTGGTGTGTTCACCTCTACAATATTTGGTGATGATAATATGACTTCATCATATAAGTGCAACGAAAGAGCTTTTAATGTCTTGTTGTCCTTTAGTAACTGTTCTATTACTACATCAGGTAGAGGAGGAGGGGTAACATCTATTGTTAATGATGTTATAGTTTTATTTCTTGTCACTCCTCTAATCACACTAATAATTGAATTAAATACTCCATGATACTCAATCTTCATTTCTTGTAGTGTTAAATTCATTTCTATACTTTTCTCAAGTTCAGTGCACTTATCTGTGTAGTATTTATTGTCAACTAAAAAGTGCAGTATCTTCAATTGAGGAAGATTAAGGAACTGTAACAATACAAGACCATTTAATAATCCACAGTAGCACTCTTGAATATTATATAGAAGTGATGGTTGTATTAATTTGTGTATTAATTCATCAGTGGGTTCATACCACTTTACCTCCAGTCTCATACACTGAGCCTGTAGTGAGTTATTGGTTAGTCCATCAGTGAAGACTGATAGTGGCTGATTAGATACAGTCCCAAGGTGCACCAGATTCCATGTTGTGTTGGAATTGCTTATACAATAACTGAGACACAACCAGTCAAACAATGATAATGATGCTCTATCCAGACACAGTGAGTGTTTGTGGATGGATTGTGCTAATACTTTACATAATGTTGTGTTCTGTGACTCATACAGGAGTTCAAGAAGAAAAGGAACATAGTTGTCTAAATCATCAGATCTGATATGATTATTGTGTCTAATCTCAGGATTTTGATAAAAGTAGGAGAGATGACAAGTCTCAAATCTAATCAATGGTTTCCTCTTACACTGTAAGTCAAGTTGCTTATTAAAGTACTGTTGATAGCTCTCATGTTCAAGGTGAGTTAGACCTGCCACAAACCACAAACACATTCGAAAGTGATCATCATCAAAGTGGTCCTTAAACACTTCCTCTGTCTTCTTCTCATGCTTAGCTATCCACCATGCAGCTAGAAATTCCTGTATACTCAAGTGAAGGAACTGATACTTCTCTTCATCATAATCTGTGAATGTTGTCATCAATCCAAGATAGTCTTCCTTGACTGCTTCACTCAGTGACAGTAGATGATGTGAAGAGAATGTCATTCTTGTATTAGCCAAGTTAGTATAGGCTAATCGACCCATCTCTTGTAAAGGATTAGCTAATTGTGATGGTAATGAAGAAAGACTACCTAAAGTACGTGGGTTAATAGCATGTCTTTTAACATGTCTTTTGATAGTTTGTAGGATAAAATTCTCATAGAGTTGAGTGAGTGTTGTTGGTAAGTGTCCTCCTTCTTTACAATAAACTAAGATGACCATAGAACAAACTAGTGGTACATAGCACAATGATTGGACATCATTTCGTACCTCAAGATCATTAATTAGTTTCACTGCTAGTTGTGAGTCCTTACTGCTTTGAGTAGTTGTAAAATGGGACTTGTATTTAAATTCTGTTTCTGTATCTTGTTCATTGTTCTTATCAATGAGTTCTTGTGCTAGTTTTGTATCTTTTTGAAGTGTATGTATAATTACTGTTGATATTTCTTCCTTAGAAAACCCAATGACCTGAACATGTCTACTGAGATTGGACATAATCTCTAAAAGTGAAGAGGAGGCATAGCTACGAGAGGTAACAATTACTGAACATTGGTCTAACTCATTTTTGCAAATGATACTAGCAGCTAACGAAGACTGTCTGAGCTGTTCACTTAGTTCATCCCAACCATCAAAGATTATCAGTAATCCTTCACCGTCCCTCTTCTCAAACCACTCAGGTATATTTTTATATCTATTAAGTTGACGCACAAACAGGTCAGCTAGTGTAGTAGCTGCAGCTATTTTGCTATTCCTTAAAGGACAGTAAAGTGCCAAGTCATACTGTTGATGTGGAAATTTTCCATTAGACCACATGTTTAACAGTTTACGACAGAGTGTTGTCTTGCCAATACCAGGGGGACCGTCTATTACTATTCTGAGAGATAGAGAACTATCTGGGGGTTGGAGGACATCTTCAACACTTATCTCTTTGTTTCCAATTAGTTTAACTGTTTTATCTACTTGTCCTCTTAGCTGATGCCAAGCTGATTCTGCTTGTGTGCTGGAGTCTTGTAATTCTATTAGTGCTAGTCTTCCAAAGAAATCTTTTCCAATTCTTGGAGGCCAATCTGTGGCAACAATAGGTTGGTGTTTGTAGTGTTGTCTCATATTGTCAGCATATCCTTGAACATCATCAGGTATTGAACTAATGGATGTGGAATAATCAGGTATAGACTGACCTAATGCATTGAGATATAATGACTATATTGATCACTGATAATGTACACACACACACTCACCTAACTGGTGTAATATAGAGGTAGCAACATCTGTTAGTGTATGATCTTGTTGGTTTATTAATACATGACATATGTCAGTTAGGTACTGCTCTGGATTTTGAGAAGATTCTAACTGTTCATACTGCTTTGGATTTTGAGAAGATTCTAACTGTCCATACTGCTTTGGATTTCGATAAGATTCTAACTGTCTATGTAATACACTCATCAGTTTCATTGCTTTAGTATAATCAGTCATAACTCCCATTACAAGTACATCATCAACTGCTTGTTGTGGTATCAAACCTTTAGCACGTAATTCAGTTGTTGTTTTGTAAAGATTATGTGAGATTTCAGTAGTGAGTTTATCAAAATGAGTTCTTAATATATCGCTTGGTCCAGGATTACCTACAGTAGTGTATCAGTTAATGAGTGTTGTAATAAGTGTATCATTTTGTTTACCTGTTATAGGACCAGGATTGAGTTCAACATCTCCTGATAAAAGGAGGAGCATACGTAGACTAACAATCAAACAGAGATCATTGTAAATCAGGTTAGAACTGCTGCCTCCAGGTAAGACTACTGACTGGAGGTAATTCGTATCAGTAACAGTAACACCAGTAGTACATTGTACTTGGTGGTAGCAGTTACCTAATAGTAAAATACCAGTATACAAGTACAAAGTTGCATATCCTTGTTGTTTACCTGTTGGAGGAATAACTAATATGTGTCTTAATAAAGAGAGACAGAGAAAGAGGAGGAGGAGGAAAGCAATAAGAGACAAAGTTGTTAGCAGTTTAGATGTCTTCTCTCCTGATGTAGTACTGCCTGACTTGCTGTCTACTGCAGCTTTGAATGAGTGAGAGTGGCGGCCATTAGCTGGCCTACTGGAAGCAGCTTGACAGTAGTTCCACAGTCCAATACTTGCTCTCCATTGAGAGACATCAATCATCTTGTAAATATTGTTACAATAAATACACTGAAGCAGTTCCTTTATGCTTTATCCAGCACAAGAGAAGTGGGTGTATGTGTCACTCTTATCATTGTCACATGAGAACCATACATAAACTATTGTAACCACTAGTTTATACAAAATGTCTCTAGTACAACTTCATTATGACCAAATTTGGTCAATTCATATCATATAACATATGGTTTCTCTCTCTTCCTTTGTCTCTTCCTCTCTCTTCCACAGTTCCCTCCTCAATCTCTCTAAGAAGTAGGCAGTCCAAATATTGGTTGAACATGACAATACATAAGTCAATAAACATATACATGTAATTTGTGGCAAAGTTGCTGTCAATGGATGGATGTACCAATTGATGGGTGTACCAATTGATGGGTGCAGGTGATGTGTGTATTGGTGGATGTATTAATAGAAAAATGGATAGCACACTTCATGATGGCACTGAATACTGTTGTTCACTGTTCTTGAATATCAGTGATGGTGAATAATATTATCATTAGGTAGGAAGAGGTGATGGTGTAAATTAGAGTTGAACTTGGTGAGTTATGTCTGATGCATTAAAAAGTGCTAATTATTCTACTCAACAAAGTTGCTACCTTATATTGTTACTTTATAGTGATCATCATAAAATAACAAAAACATCCATACATGAAATACATTAAATGATTATCAAGTCAGTACTTAATACTTAATGTGTGTGTGTGTGTGTGTGTGTGGTGTCACTGGTGTGCATGTAAATATTAGAGGCAGATTTACAATTAATAATCAAAGCACCATGCACCTCTTATATAAAGTAGATTGGTTGCTTAAGTGAAGATTCAGTGACTTGGTATGTTAATTCACACGACGACTGATCTAATACCAGTCTACTCTGCCTTGTATGTGGTGATAGTCAGGAAAAGTATTAATACAAGTCTCTTCGTGTCGCTTGTCTAACTTGAGTTTTGTTGCATTTTTATTTGATAGTGACTGGAAGATGAGTAGTATTGACTCAGTAGACAACGAGGTCCTCCTTAGATCCAGTTCAACTAGTGATGAGTTATTGAGGAGGAGATGAGAAAGAGCCTGTCCACTAACAGAAGTGATGAGAGGATTAACATGTAGATATAATTTGGTAAGTGTAGAGTTGCGTTCAAGTGCTTTACAGATATTGGCAACTCCTTTATCACTAATGGAGTGATACACGATGACTAGTTCTTGTATTGTTTTATTATTAGTTAGTAGCATACACAAGTACTGGATACAATCATTAGTTAATGGAGTGTATTGCATCACAAGTCTCCTCAGGTTTAGTGTCTGCAGTTTAGTGTCTGCAGTTTAGTTGATGATAGTAGAGATACTGTACTATTAGTAGATGAGTGGTGGAGCTCAACGTCTTTGTGATTTTCATTAATATTACTAATCACTTCATTACACTGAACTGGAGATGCATAGTTAAGGTATACACTGTCACTGCACTGAGGCCAGTCGACATTTCCAGTGACTCCTAATATAAACCAAAGGATTATACTTATATACATGTATGTACATAATAATACACATATTCACATCATGTGTATATACAAACACACACAACTTGCATAAACAAATACAGACACAGCTAGTAGTTGTCACTGTATTATGTGAATGTGTATGTTTGTTGTATAGTATTAACTATTAAGCATGTACAGAGTTAATGTTGAAGTAAATTATTAAATTAATTTTATACATAATTCCTAAGTATACATTTTTCCATGACATTACATGATATGCACATTTATGAATAATTATACTGAATATCACAATAATCACAAATATTACCTTTACCATGTTGTTCCTTGTCTTGTCTCAGTGCAGGTATCATAATAGGATCATCATTTATAGTCTCCAAGAAAAGAGAAGCTTTCTCATCATTACTAGATGAATCATTCCTTATCTTCTGTAGAATAGGAAGGGACACTTCTTCCACTGACAGTATAAACTCTAACAATTGAAGTGACTCCAACAATGAGTAAACACAACTACTAGGAATGACTCCCTCATCACCAGACATCAAGGATTTTCCTTTCCACCAATTGTCACCTTTACTGTGTATCACGAGCTGCTCTCCTTCACTGAATGAAAGATCACTGCTCCATATGGCAATGTAGTTGCAAAGTGCTATGTATCTTGATTCTGCTAAATGTTGTTGTGCATACCAATCCTTCTCTATACAATGCATTAATCAATAATCATTTGAAGTGATATCTTACTGTCAATATTTCCCTTTTGACTCCTCAGCAGTTGTGAACTATTTATTGATATATTTTCTTGTAGTAACTCAATCTCTTTCTTATACTCCACTAATGCCTTCTCTCTTCCTGTGATGAGGTAGTATAGACAGATTATACCAGTAGAGTCAGTACCTGCTTTCATTAGGAGAGAGGTTCGGAAATACCGAGTCTCTGATTTCTTTGATTTGAATATTTTATTTATCAATTTCCCTCCAGTCAGTAGCTCCACTCTCAGTTTTGAATCTATATTAAATAAATGATGCATAAAATTTGTATTTTTAAATTTATGAAGAGTCGAACACTCAAAACAAATCCACATTATAATATTTAGCACTATAATACCTAGTGTTAGTAGCATATTTTCAATATACTCTATACAAACTTAATCATTCACTAACTATACCTTTTCTTTTTTTGATGATTTTCAGTTGTTTTTCTTGTTCAAATATTGATCCTATACCATTAGTATAAGTAACATCAATAATTAAGTATAGTAGATCAACTCACACACCTTCTTTGTAATCAAGTAAAGTCCTCAGTTCTTGTTCCTCTCCATCAGCTAGTTTAATCTCTTCTTTAAGACATTCATTATTCATTACCTATAATCATTATATTAAACAAGGTCTCATACAGTTACAGTATCTTATACTTTGTATCTGATCCTTTTATCATAGACAGTGTAGTGGCCAATGATTAGTCTAATTAAACTGAATTTCTTCATCAAGACAGTTAGGTTGTCTTGTGCTTCCAAGAGAAGAGCAGCTAGTAAATGATGTGGAACATAACAGATGATAATGATGGAGTTCCCACGATGAATGGTTTGTACAATAATCCTCTTATTTAATTCTTTAAATGCTTCCTCTAAGAGATTACGTATGTCATCAAGTGAGTGCTCATCTGGTTCCCATCCCAAAGTAAACTGAATTGTATTGTAATTGCTAAGATGTTCGGGCTGATTCTGACTAAGGAAGTCTTTTAATGAGCCACAAACTCTCTTGACTATTCCTTCATATTTTGATATAAGATCTTCAGCTTGAGTGATTTCAAAGCGTAGCACAATTATTTTTATTATTGAGATGTCATTGACTCTGCAACTCTTCACAACAACATTCATAATGCTTTCAATACTATGAACATTAGACAGCTCAGCACTCATTTCAGGGAAGGATAGTTGAAGGAATGACTTCATTTCTTCAATGGATGCTTTTGATTGAGATATCAATGGAACTATCTTATCTCGAAGAATACCAAAATGACCTCTGACCTCATTAAAAATTGGCTGATATGCTGCATTGAAAAAGAACTCTCCTGCTATAATCATATATAAATATTATATAAGCATTTTACAGCTACCTGATACTGGTGTGTTTACAATAGGCAAAATATTGACTGTACTACTGGTAGATCTAACTGGTCTAACTACAACTGCAGTCACTGGTTTATTAAAAGTTTCATCTATTGTGAAACAGTTATTACTAGTATATATTATTGTCAGTCTTACCACAATCTTTAATAATATCTTGAGCTAAAGGTTTAGTTTCTTCTAATTCCATTAATATATTGCCTAGTGACCTCAGCTTACTGTGATCATCAGATACTGCAATCATTAATTCTCTTAATGCAACACTTAATGAGCCACCACATCTCTCAATCTTCCTTTGTGTATCCTCAGTGATTAATCCTTCTGTATATAACAACTGGATACAACTATTAGTGAGAAATACTTGTGATATTCTATCACTGTAATGCTGCAATATCTGACTAGCAGGATCATCATCTATAAATAAAAATTATACATTAGATTTATTTTGAAAATTACTGATAATTGTTTACTAGTGTAGACATGTACTGTATGTATGTTAACTTTACATGTGTTACGGATGAGTGTAGCAGCTGGTTTTTGATTCATTCTCTCAAGTGCACTAGCTAATGATTCCCAAGTACGATTATTAGCTGAAGTCAACCACAAGCTCAAACACTTCCTCAAGCAACGTGATGGATTATTCACATAAGTATCTTCAATATTCTTCAACTGAGGATAAAGTAGGTCTAATTCCACTCCAAGGTCAAACCAGTCAGCATCAATGAAGTGACTTCCCTTCAAAGCATCTCTTACTAACTTCAAATGACTGATATCTAATAAAGATATTGATAAATATAAAAGCTCTACTATCTCTCAGTTTCTAATTACCTAAACGGAACACTCTTCTAGCCATAGTAGTTTCTTACTTTTGCAATTAATTTTGTTTTGCAATTTGTAATTTGCAGCAAAGCAGCCACACCCTTGCCTTGCATAAGACCACGCCCTTACAAGACACGCCCATTCACGTGTTTTGCAAGAATTTATACATGCAGCAACTTCTGAGTAGATTGTTTACAGTAGTCAACCGCAGTAGCACCTTTTTGAATTATCACAAAAAGATGGCAAGTGATACGGGGAAGTCTGACATACTAAAATGGGCTAACGAGAAAGGAGAATTTATCAGAAAACCCAGTTCATTCCGGAACTGGATTACAGCTGATGGTAGCTCAGGATTCAAAGCAGAAGCTGGTAGATATCACCTCTATGTCTCGCTCGCTTGCCCCTGGGCTCACAGGACACTCATCGTACGCCAGTTGAAAGGTCTGGAAGATGTCATAACGTTCAACGTGGTGGATTACCATATGGGGCCCAATGGATGGAGGTTTAATCCAGAAGTTGAGGGAGCCACTCCTGATACTGTCAACAGTTTCTCTATGATAAGGGAGGTCTATTTCAAAGTTGATCCTGATTACACTGGTCGGTTCACAGTCCCAGTTCTTTATGATAAGGTGAATGGTACTATTGTTAATAACGAGTCGTCTGAGATAATTCGTATGTTAAATACTGAGTTTAATGAGTTCTGTGCTACTCCTGAAGCTAAAGCTCTTGATCTCTATCCTACTGATCTGAGAGACACCATCAATAAACTCAATGAATGGATTTACCCGTAAGTAATTAATGTACAGTTCTTCTATTGCATACCTGCATGTATTCATGTATTTGAGCTGATTCCGAATTCTCAAATTTGGATTTTTTACAAAATTTTAAAGTTATTCAAAAATATTTTTTCAAGAATAAAAAGGAGAGAATTTTCCTTTTTTCTCATACATATACATGATGTATAAATTTTGAGCTTATTCTGATCAAATTTGATTTTTTTAATGAATTTTTAAAGTTACAAAAAATTAGGCCGAAAAGTATAGTGCAGGGTTATTAGCCAAATTTTGTCAAAAATAACTAGGGGAGAACTTTCTATTTTTATAATTTTTCTGATACATACACATGTTCCTATGTTATGTATCGATTTTGAGATCATTTTGATCAAAACTAGAAACAATGTAGAACATTCAAGGGCTCAGCCTCGTAGATTATTAGCTGGAAAAAAGTAGAATCTCAACCTTATGTTGCTGCTAGAAAACTTCTGATTCTTGCATGCTGATAGCCATTTTATTATCTTTCGGCCACTCCCACTTTCAATGAAATATTGAAATTTAGAATCTATTGCACTGCAAGGCATGTGCAGATATATAGAGGAGATACGGAATACGTACGTGTACAGACAAACAAACAAACTCTACTCATCTTAGTGGGCTTCGCCCAATTAGATTTTTTATGAATTTTTAAATTACACAAAATGTACATATTCTTGTCAGGCTTAACTCAGTTAGCATTTTTTGTGGGAAAACCTGATTAGGTGAATGGGTTTCTTGCATAAAGCGCTTATTAGGTTGGCCTTTTAAACTCATTATCACCTATTTTCATACATTTG